GAACGAGCTCCGCATCGACACTCCATCAGATAAAGAAATGTGTATGTAGCGTAAACGTGCGAAAGGGAAAAAGAAGATCGAAAGCATCCCCTACACCCCGCGCACACACATACAGAGAAGGGATGGACTATGGCGAAGGGATGGGTTGGGGTTTGGTGGAGCGGCGGGGTTCGGGCGATTGGATTTAATGTGGGAAACATTCGGGAATACAAATCGGTCCTTTCTCTCTCTCACTCACACTTTCGCCCTTTCTACCCCATTCAATATTTTACAATTATCGCCCTTACATTATCTCCTTTTTCCCCCTACCTCGTCCCCATTCCCATCCCCGACACACGACAATTTAGATTACAATCCGTTTAAATTACGCAATTACCCGACGAATTAGAATCGGACTTACATCGGGGACGTAACGCGGTGACCCATCTCACCGGCATCCAGATTATGCATTTATATGTATATATTTACATACGCAAGATACGTCCGTTACGTAAGACTTTTCGACTTTCCTCATCTCTTATTGTCGTTCCACTCTCACACTCGACCCTAAAGCCCGCATAATAAAGGCAAATAAATGGAGCAATGTTTTAAGCAACCGCTATAATAAAAAGCAATCCTTGCTTCATCTTAATCTCCCACATATCACCTTATCTTCTCTAGACCCTACATTCATTCATGATAAAAACACAATAAAGAAACTTGATAATTATTAAGTCTTTCCCTTTAAAGTACCAATTGATCAGTCGTTTTATTGACTTTCTTAATATTTATTAAGTCTTAAAGTTTTCAAATTACTCAAGACATTTTTGGAAATCATTGATATCAATTAAGTCTTAAAATATTTGTTATGCGCTGAAAGTACTGAAAATCCACCAGTTGAAGAAAAAGTATCGTTTGCCAAGTTCAGGTTAATCCATAATGTCATTAGGCATTAGTCCATTTGCGATTGAATCCGAAAACGCAAACGGTATTCGGTGGAAACTGCCAATTCCTGCAGAGATTTCGAGCGTCGAGATTATTATATATATATATATAGAAAAAAAAAACAAGAAACCAATTCCCAACAGTCATCGAAACTGTTCAAAATCGCCCAGTTTATTGCTCGCACGATCCTTAAAGAACCTGCACTTCCTCCGCTCAACAGCCAAGAAAAAAACGCCAGCCCCCTTTTCCTTTTTTTTTTCTTCGTTCCATCTCCCGTTCGCCGGGAAAATGAAAGGGTCGTAAATCTGCGTACCCCGATTTTACATATTCACCCCATTTTTACCAGAACAAAAAGAAACTCCATATTTTAGAAATATATATTTTTTGGTTTAAAAAAAAAAAAACCTTTTACAAAGTAGAGATGTGCTGTAAAATATGATACCGGTTTTTTTTCTGGTTATGTGTGTGTGGAGTAATATTATTTATTGAATTAGGGCGCGATCGAAGTGGCGGCTTACATGCATCATTCAACTGTCACATTACGGACGTGCGTTGGAGCGAGAGGGAAGAGAGCGTTTCGAAAAGTGAGGGGTTGTAGGATGGAGAGAGTGAGAGAGAGGGAGAGAGTTGTAGGTGTAGTAGTTCCGTTCAATATCGTCCCGCCGATAAATCATTAATTTACCAAATGCGAAATGCGAAATTAAAAAAATGTCTATTATTCATGGGGGCAAAACAATTTTGATTGCTTCATATCGTTGCGTTTCGGGTTGCGATCGATTTGAACGTCATCATATATTTATGGTCATCGCAGAATTTATACATTTCGGACTCATACCAAAAACCTTCATCCCTCCACCCCATCACTCATCATCGATGTAAGACCATCAAATATTTAACGCAATTTTTGTTTCAATTTTTCATTTACATTAATATTTCCACAAATAAAAACGTTGACATGTTCAGTCTGCCTATTTTATTTATTTTAAAATGAAATATAAAGAAATTAATAGGACCTAGAACCATAACACGTGGTACACCTTTTCCAAAATTGTATAACCAAACAATCTAAATAGTAAACTGACTGTTAAAACTTAACTAACAGCGTTTGAAACAACTGCTTGAATTGTAAGTGATGGTTATGTCATTAAAAAAAAAAGACGATTGGATCAAGATGTATGGACCGAAGCGAAAACAAATTCCTCGAAACAAAACTATCCCAAAACTCGGATGGAAACTTTAAAAGCATTCTTCGCAACTTTCCATCCGCAGACAACAGACTCTAAACGATTTGCTTCTATTGCAATTTTAACTGTATTAACATTTTTTTTTTAATTTAGTACATTTAGTAAATAATTTCATTACAAAATATCGCATTTTTCTCATGAAAACGCATATTATTCGACACAATAATATCAATAACAATGGAAATGGAGGGAGAATAACAATTGTTTGGATTACAATTAAATAAGTTGGCCAAATAAAACAAAAAGGAATAAAAATTGATTCGTTTTTAGGGGTGGCTTCTGTTTATTGCAAACGTCAAAGTCGAATGATTCTGATAAATGTTATGATTAAAACCGTTAACGTTTAATTAGTTTTTGAGTGTAAATATTAAGTGTTGGTGGTTTCGTTCTTTACCAAATTTATTATGTAAGTATCAAATGATGAGACGCAAATAATTGGGATTATTTAAATGCTGACCTTTAATGAGGTTATGTGAGAAATGTCAATATTCGTGGGTGGTAGTGACATCATTCATTAATACGAAAGTGATATTTCTCCAATGTAAATCATAGTATTATATAAAATGCTTTGTATTATACTGTGAATTTTAAGATTTTGTTTAATCAATGTGAATTATTTCAATTGGCATTAATTGTTTTCACACAATTCAATATTATAAATATTTCATGTTTATAAAACTATAGAAATAAAATTAGATTTTTGATTTTCTATTGAAGATGTATAGTTACGAGTTCTGATTTAAAAGTATTGAAATTCAATTTGTAAATGTGTTCAAGGATTTGGGTTATATTGACTAACAATTATGTGTTCTTAAGAAAAGGAGTGGCGAGGGATTGCAATTCAAATTACAATGAAGAGTAAACAGAATAATGTTGGTATCCGGAATTTGCTCTGGGGAAGGATAAAAATGAGGAGGAAAGGAGCGGAGATGAAGAGGAGTGAGCGGAGAGAAGAGTTATTTGTTCTGGTAATTGTGAAAAGTAATTAAGAATTACGCCTGGCTCATAGTTCGCCAAGTTTACATAGCAGTTGCATCATCGCACGGGATGAGGGTTTGCGTCGGGAATTAGGGGATGGTGGGCACATGTTTAACAGAGATCGCACCTAATACAGTAGTACTAGTAGCGGTGGTGGTAGTAGTCTCAGCAGTCGCTGGAAAACTTGGTTTCGCAAGCTCCACAACCTAGCTTGGTTGTTATTACCCGTCTTACTGTCAGCGCGCGCGCCGCATAGTTCCGAAGTTGCAGAGGGCTGGCGAAAATTCGGTTGGAACGGTGGCTCCGAAAGCCGCAACACCAGAAGCCACTTTATACATCCGGTGGAGGAAATTCGTTTTCATGCACATTTTATGGAAAATTATGCACATTCGTCCGATTCTCCCTTCGAACTGTCCACCGCATTTGTATGACGCTTACATCCATACATAGACCGTGTCCATCCAATTTAACTTTACTCAAACTCTTCCTTACCTTAATGCACTTTTATTTATACTACGTTCTTTGCTTGCAAACTTTGCAACAATAACATCAACTTTGCCTGCAACTGCAAATACCACGAGATAAAAACAAAATAAAACTTTTCAATTGTTATCATTATAAAAAAAAATGATATCCTTTCAGAAGACACAAAATCAATTAACATATAAATTGCGATTCGTTTAATACGCAAATGCATGTTAATCTTAGCCGCACCTTAAGAAAGATTAATGTTCACTCGGAGCACTTAGGATTAACGTTCAATTCAAGCACAACAACGATACATATTTCTATATATAAATATTAAAAATAAACTGCAGGATATAATTCATAACTTGCAGATTAAAAAATGGAACTCAAATTGAAGATCAAAATATTTCTGTTATGGGAACAACAGCGAAGCAAAGAGTTACTTGTTTTTTTTTTGTCGATTTTAATTGAGCACTTATTTCGGTAAGTGGAATACGTCCTTTATAAGAGGAGGGAAACAACAAGGGGCGGCTAATTGGCATCTGGAATTCTTAATGTGAAGATTTTCGAGATTCCCTCGTCTCGAAATTCGCAAGAAGAAAAAAAAAAAAGAAGCAAAACAAACAACGAAATAAGATTGCAGCAACGCAATTAAGTTTTATTGCGCGAAATTATCCTTCGGAATAAAATTGATGTGTCTCATATGTGAGTATGTGAGCAGAGTTTCCAAAACTTTTCCTGCAATGGAAAAATCCTGAAATTTTCACGAAACAAGTTGTTTATTTTATAGAATAGGTAACAACACATAATCAATATAAAATAATGAGAAAAACATTCATTATTTATTTAGTAATTATTTCATTTCAAGTTTTCATGGCGCATAGTTTGGAAAATCCTGGGATAAAGAAAGATATATGAATTGAAGGAGAGAGAGATAAAGGGCGTTTAGGATAAATCGAAATCGTTGAATTCCTTCTTTTTCTTGCTTTAATTAAAAAAAAATAGTTCAAAGGGAAGTGTGGAAAATATGCTTGTTAAATGACGCATTTTGCGGGACACGTGTGCCCCGGAGTAATGGCTGTTGGGGGGGTTTTAGCTACTCTTACCATTTTCCAGTGCACAAGTTCGCCGAGGGCTGTAACATTAACAACCCTCTTAAACCTCAGCTCAACGGAAAATTGGCACTGCAGAACACACACACACACCGACCAACTCACATAGAAACCATCTTTCTTTCTCCTTTACTCTCGCATACTCTTATGCTCTACTCTTTCGCTCGATTCCAGGATTCTCGTTTCGAAATGAATGCATTCTTTTGTTTCCTCTCCGCAGCATCCAAAAATAGCGTGGCCGAGATTTAATCTCTTGAAATCTTTTGTTTTCCAGATAGCGAGCATCCAGAGACAGCGAGACCGTACTCTTGTACTTCTTCTTCTTCTACTTCCTAATACGAGCGTCCATCCACAAACGCCAGATATCATCGTCATCGCCCGAAGATGGGGACTTGGATGAGCGGCGCTGCGGCCATCTACTGGACCTTCCTCATCTCTTATACTTACGGTGAGTGTAATTTCCGAATCCTATTAATTTAGAGCCTCTTCGGTTTCGGGGGTTTGTTGCAAATGCGATGATAGTGAGCAGGATGAAGAGGTGGAGGAGGATAGGGCAACATTACATAATTAAATCGACGCTAATTGTATTTGCGGACGGTTTTGCATATTATATTTAAATCTTGCCCCGAATCTGCTTTAATAATATAACGACCCATTAAAGCTTCACGTGCATCAATTACGGACGGCCTCCCCCGAACATAATGCAACCTATTGAATTAAATTTCATTCCACGTTGCTCCATCGCATTCTCTCTCTTACTCTCCATCTCTACCAACTCTTACCATTACTTCTTTATCTGCTCGTTAAAGCCGGCATCCGAGCAGCATTTATGTTTTTTTTTTTATACAATACGCCCGGAAATATAATAAACCTCGCAAAATATGTGTACTTATTATGGTAACTACGATATATCACTAAAAAGGAAACCTGAAAAATTCTCATTTTACATGTCAAAGTGAAGTATTGATTCGCATCCATCCATCCATTCCACTTTCCTCCAACTCCACCGTCCTAACACCGCCCCATCCCAACATCAGACAACGGATGCGGAAAATCATTCCAATATTCTCTTGTTTAAGGTCCACTCGAACAACCCTTATTGTACTCTGCAAATAAATTTATATCTTTCCATCGATTCACACTGTTTCCTTTACATTTACACAATATTTCTCTTTTGATTAGAAAACGTGAACTTATCCAAAAACCTAATCAGCAAATAGGAGAAAAGTATAAATAGATTAAAAAAGAAAGTCCACATAATTTCCTTCAAATTTACACAATTAGATGATCTAAGACTTCAATTTACAAAATAATAAATAGAAGAAACGTATAGAAAATTATAAAGTAACAAATAACAATTATTATTCTGTTTTCACGTCTAATTAGTTAAAATTCTTCAAATTATTAAATATTTCTTAACATTACAATAAACAGATTTTTTATTACAAATAAAATTAGTTCAAAGTGAAGGAAATTGTAAAATTTATAAACAATTATAAGTATGACATAAAAGTACAAAAAAAATCTAAATAAAAATAAATTTCGATAAAAAAAAGATTGATTTGAACTGAAGAAAATTAGATATAAAAGAGGAATATTTTCCTACTAATAAAAAAATAAACAGACTATTTAAATTTTATGTGAAGGAAATAAGATTTAAGTCCTCTAATTATTAACGATTTTATTTAAAAAGCGAACATTTTCTCCCCGTTTGTATAGCTAATGAACAAAATAGCATTTAACCATTCCACTTTTATTTCGCTCCATTGAAATTGATTTTACACCCTTCAAAGGCATTCAATACAGTCGATACAAAACGGATCCTTTATACGCACGCACAATTTTTTTCTCCTTCGTTTTATTTATTTCTTTATTTTTTCATCTCCTTTCAATTCTCGTATTTATATTATATTGAAAGCGAAATTGAATTGAAACCGCAGAAGGAAGACAGATCTCTGCCAGTTTTCGATGACGCCAGTTATTCTTTGTACACAAACAGATATGTATGTACCTTTTTTATTTATTCTTGTACTTTTTGTTTCTGTTCAGTCGATAATTTCAATTAGAGAATAATAAAATCAGTTTCGCTTTTGCTTTGCGCATCTACATTTGTTTTTTTTTTTGGAATTTGCGCTTTTGTTAATGTCCGTCGCTTTATCAAACGCTGTTTCGCTGTTTTTCAGCATTTTTTGGTTCAATATTTATCACCTGGTTTTCATACACACGACGTAACGCGAACACAAATTTGAAAATAAATAAATAAACGAATGCAAAATTCACTTGTAACCTTTGCATTATCAACTAATAAATTTTCCCTGAAGAAAATACCCGATGATCGGAACAACAACATCCAACATCTTGTCTACTTTATACATTAATTATTACAAAATATACAAAAGTTGAAATATGAAAAAAATATTAAAACTAAAAGTTTTGAAATGTAAAATCATCTCCTATAGTTGACAAATTTTGATGTTTATTTTATGTAATACTTATTAGGTAATTACAAACTATGTAAAAGTTGGAAATTATTGTGAAAAAACGTTTGTGATAAACGTTGATACTAGATTATTCATAAGGAATTAAATGAGGCAAGTGCAGGTAATGAAACGTTCTGTAATTATTTTTGAAGACATTTCGATGAAAGAATTTTAAATGCAGGCAATTATATGTTCCGGGAAGGCACGATCCACGCAGGTGGATTTAATGGGATAATGATCATTAGCATGTGAAGCGATTCCAATTTGGAACTAAGGGAAGAAGGAAATGGAAGGAAAACAATAAATAAAACAACCCATTTCCAAGGTTCAATTACTTGAGAGGGTGGCGGATCTATGGATTGGAAAGGACGGAAATCGACCCCGAAAATATTTCTGGGTCTATAATCTATATAGAACGAATCCTCTTTTCAGGTCATAACTTTGCTGTTACGATCTGTTCACTATTTGCATTTGGCAACTGAGAAGAACTACAAACAAGACACACACAAAAAAAAGAACAGACTAAAAGGGAGGAAAAAAACAAGTATCACGGAGATCGCTGTTGTTATATAGTGCGAGTGTTTATGGAGTGTTTTTTTTTCCTTCGTCCTTCTTTGTAGCTGCGGTGGTAGTAGGCTTTGCTTATCGTCGTGGGGGAATCTTTTAAAGTGTCCACTTTGGTCTAGCTGTGTGTGTGTGTCGTTTACAATAATGTTTTTTAGGGGTGGTCGAGAGGGGACCGGAAGTATAAAAATAAAAGTAACGGCCGACGTTTCAATCCTGTTTCCGGTTAAATCGCAATATAGAGGAGGTGCGGACCGGTCGTTTCCTTTTTTTTTCTTCGTTTTTCTTCACCCTTTCCACATGGGGAAAGGAAAGCGGTCGCCACCAGGCCACATCTCGCCGTGCGGAATAACATAATCGATTCGGGACACACACATAAAACATAAATACAGATATTCCGGAAAGGTTTGAATCCTTGCTTCGAGATGCGCACTCTTCGCCCATCTACATCTAAATTGGCTTCCTGCCGTCAAACGTATTTCATATTAAGAAATCATTTTCGCTGCTGAAAGTGCAGAAGAAACTACAAAAAAAAAACCTGTCAACACTTTCTTTGCTGGTAGCAAGGAAGTCACCTCTTTGGAAACGAAAATAAAGTTTAGAAGCTTTACAAACGTGTATCTGTAATGCACCGACGATACTTCACAGTTCTATTATTTTTTTGAAAACATTTATAACTAGTTGGTAGTTTACAAAAGTGTATCTGTAATGCAAAAACGATATTCTTCACCATTCATTTCTAATAACATTTGAGCAATTTTTATATGTCAATGTGTATTCTTAGTTAAGTTTATTGTGGATTAATTAATAAAAACAATAACTAATCTAATATGATCGAAATTTTTCCTATAATAATTAACATTATCTTATGAAATTTATGATAACGTATGGCTGTGATCAAACATGAATACTTCGTACAAAACATATGCGTTGATGGACGTTTAATTTTCTTCTAATTTATCGTAGCCACATAAGTATACCAAAGATATAAATAAATTACTTGCTCCCATTTCATCTGGACTACTACAATAGACACATGGTATTCGGATGAAGGAGATTTGCATAATAATACATTTTAATTATTCAAATGTATTCGTTCAATTTGAATACCGGCATAACCGAAAATATGACCAGATTGAGACATAACGGATTCATGAACTGCACCATTTTTAGCCACCAATTTGATTTTTTTCTTCAATATTATAAAATTTGATGAATTTTTAACAAAATCGACAGGTTTTTAATGTCTGCGAAGGCCTCTTTTGTTCGAGCGTCAAGAGATTCTGGAGGATGGACTACATAAAAAGCTAGACTTAAAAATAACGATGGACGGACGACGTTCGGTTAGTCAGACATCTAATGTGAGGTGGATTAACCTTTATTGGCACGACATCAACTCAAATTATATTCTTATACATCGCGTAACGCTTTACTAAAAATATCAGACTTTTTCGTTCAAATGATCAAACGATGTTATATTTTGATTTGGGTTTTCTGTATTTCTTATGCGATAAAATATTATAGTACAGTTTTTGGGGTTTCAATTATTTCATTCAACTTTATTCAATATTGAAACAATTTTGATTCATTTTTACTTGTGAAACAACCAATCATTAATAAGTACTTAATTTGTCCCTTATTCTACTACACTGATTTCTTAATATTATACTAATTTCTAAAAGTGTAAAACTTTTAATTGAAGAGAAAATTATACTAACGATTAATCAGTGTATATCAATTTATTTAATTAAATGTTGTGTGTTTTCAGTGATGTAGTATTAATATATACGTTTTAGTTTTGTTTTGTTGTAATTAAGTTAGAGTTTGTGGGATGGGATGTGGGGGTTCGAAAATAAATGCAGAAGTGAAAACAAAGCGTCGGTCACGGGGATGGAAATGCAAATCATAATTAGCAATTGTTTCGAATGTCGCCGGGCGGAATAATAATAATCGTGCTCATAATAAACAGCAAAACAGACACAGGCAGAAATGACGATCGAACAAAGCAAAACAAACGACACAAGGATAAAAAAAATGAAAAAAAAAAGTACAAATAAAAATGTAGGAATAAAAAAAATACGGTGGTGCGAGTATTATTTGAACTTTGTAACATATCATTGAAACGCAACCCCGTGTTGAGGACACAATGAGTCCTGTGGGGTCCGCGGGATCCGCGGGGGTGGGTCATTGTTGCAGTCGGGTCGTTTGTGTGTGCGGCGGCGGTGGCGGAGGCGGCATAGTCGAAATGCAGTCGCAGTTTCGAGTTGATTATACAACGGAATGGAATGGCATTGTGTGCATCCAGCGGGACGACGACGACCAGAATAGGAGAGACATAACAACAGAAGGGGTGCTTCGAGCGTGGAGCGGCAGCGGAGGCGGCGGCGTGTGCCGCTGCCGCCACAGCCAACGCCGC